TCCATCAGAGTTTGATTACACATTCACACTTCCCCAAACCAACTGGACCTTTTAGTTCTATTAAAGCAGCGAAACAGGACTGGTGTGAATGAGGCACCTTACTGATAGTAGAGAAAACACTGACCCTGTACTTGTCCTGTTTCTCTCTGTCCAGTCCCTGTGTGACATACAGATAACCAGTGTCTCTGTCCATGATGAAAAGACCAACAGGAGGCTGATCTGCTCCAGGACCAGTGATGCTGTATAAGATCTTCTTCGTCTTATCTCTATCAGAGCGGATCTAGACAACATAGATCAGGGTTGAATAGAGACAACAATCAGCAAAAACAATTCAGTGAAGAGAAAATTGTTGTGGGTAACAAATGTCTTTTGATTAAGACTAAGAGATGTTTTAGTTAAAGCATTTATTCTATGTTATTATAGGTATAAGAGACATGCAGGCCAGAAACAAATATATTTTTTCCATTTTGAGCCAGAATTCAGTTTTCCTAAACACAACAAGAAATGTAGAAAGTTTGTGGCCAATGTAAATACACGTTACAAACACATGATATAAATAAAGAGGAAAATACACTGGATGACATTTTTCTGGCATCAAAAACTGTAGGACATTTTTGTTCCTATTACCTGAACAATAAACACAGGTAAAGGTCCTCTATGATTTTCAGCAATATTCATGGGAGGGATAACCCAATTTCTCTTCCTCCTCTTCAGCCCTGGACTGGATTTGATGAAATCCAGGACGGGGATCTGAGGATCAGCTGGATCCTAAGGAAACAAATATTCTGTCTGTAAATGACTGAACCTGTGAAGGTCTGATGAACGATGCAGCCTGGGTGGAATCTGACTGCAATGGGCCTCAGAAGACGAGAATCAAAATAATCTCTCTTAATCCTGATACTATGATGACAAACAGGTTACCAGGATGCTTTTTAGTCCACTATATAGTGGGTTTGTTTGATTAATATTCAGGTTTATTACATTCAAAGTGTTCATATGATGTAAAAAAAAAAAAAGCTTTTAGGTTTCCTAATGACCAGAACCGAGACATCATGAAAACAAAATGTTCTTTTTCACAGATCAGTCTGGATGCACCTGCAATAAATGTAACTTAGAGGAGAATCAGTCGATCTAAGTATTATAGTGACTACTTTTTTTTCTAAAACATAACACACACATAGAAATGAAGGAGACAGTATGGTGCTGTCCTAATCATCTGAATGTATCACTTTATTTGAGTTAAATACTTCTCTCATTGCCAGCTGAGTGTTGAGTAACAACTAAATCTTCAACCAGGAAGTTTATTTTATGTGCTTTGCTAATTCCGGTATGTGTGCGAGTATGTGTGTGTTTATTTCCTAGAACAACTTTCTTTACGTCCCACTTAATATCAGGTCTTAACTTACCTGCTGATTCCTATCAGAGTCCAGCTGATCATGAAGCTGGGTGTTGAGTTTATGAGCCTCATGATGAGATTCAGCATCCAGATGGTTGTTCATATAGTGATGATCCTGATACAACAACCTGACAGGAAGAGTCATTTTCTGACCTTGTGAATCCCACACATGGACCGAGAAGTTCTGGTTCCCCTCATGAAGGACAGCCTGTCTATTTACCTGGACCAGGATAACAAAGGTCATTAGCCTTTAACTCTGGAGATGGTCCAAGCCCCCGTTGATAAGCAGGTATAGAGAAAATTCATGGAACAGCTGCTAACATCTCAGAGAGAAGGGCAGAAATAACGTGTAAACAATTTTAAGAGAAATGTAATTCATTCATGTTCTCATCGTTACTCACAGTTATTATTCCATCAGGCTCTACAACAAAATGGCTGTCATCTGTGCTGAAGAGAAACTGTGTGCGGCCCGTGCAGTCAGTGAAGACAACTGGAAATAAATAAATAAATACATCCATCATAACTTATTAAATTATTAAATTCTTGCTGAAACTCAAAGTGAAAAAGTGCTTGTTTAATATTCAAAAGCAACTTAAATGTTGAATTAATAATATTTGTTCTTCAACACTATGTGAAAACTTCAATATTAGTTTCAAACATGAAATTACTTTTTAACAATGAATGTGTCACATAATGCTGCCCAAGAGAGAAATATTTTCCCAGTTTAACATGGCAGCAACCACAGTTCATTGGAAGTAAAATAATTACAAAATTATTCAACCTGATTGGTTTTATTGTTAGTAAAGTAAATGATAAACTACTCGCTAATGTCACGGATGATAATCTCAGACGGCAACATAAACAGCCAATGAACAATGTAACTAATATAAACTTTGCAATGTATATGAGAGAGAAGGAGGGGGAGCATGAAACCTCATTTAAAGAGGGCGGACACTTTTTCACATGCAATTAATTGAAGTCATAATATCTGTAGACTGCATGCACATACATTTTTTTGCTCACACAATTTAACAATCCTTATATGGGATCTTTGTAGATGAGGCCCAAAATGATCTGAGACAGAAAGAAGCCATGAGATCTTTACTGAAGTCATAATAAAAGAGGTCTTCTTCTATTTGCTTTTTATTTTTAACAAAAGAACATAAAGCTTAAGTTTTAATATCCCCTCCTTCCCTCCATGTCAGGCAGTTCAGCTTTTCCAGATTTTACTCAATGCCCAAACCTTTGCCGAGTCTTGTGCCTTGCTTCAGGGCTTTGTTGCTCACTTTTAATATTAACATCTCTGACTCAAATCCAGGCTGACATGGTGATTCCTCTGCAGCTGCAGTCTAGAAGAGAAGAGATACATTTATATTAACAGCTAATTTATATTCTGCATTGCAGCTAAATTAGAACAGTAACTCATAACCCACAGAGGAGTCACGAAGGCCATATATATATGTATATATATGTATATGTATATGTATATTCAATTAAATGGTCAAACTGCCTCACTAGCATTCAGCTCTGCTAATGAGTTAATATTTGAGCCAGTTGTGCTGAAGCAGAGGTGCAGGAAACCGGCCTGGAGGAATGCAGTTTGAGACCCAGGTGTAGAGAAACTGTCTGAGCTGTGATGTCCCAATAGTTAGGTTTCATATATTTTTGGAAATGTAACATTTTTCAATAACAAAACAACAATAAATAATATTGTTTTGTGCATTTCACACGTTTCCTTTCAATTTAATATTCACCATTAATACTTTTATCTGTCAGCTACTAATAAAAGACAAAATGAAACAAAGAAACTTTAAAAACAAAAAAAAAAAACAAGATATGGGGATGTGTTAAAATCAAAGGAGTTTGCTGAGAGTGTGAAGAAAGAAACATTCTTACCTGACTCAAGAAGATCCAAACACTCCAAACTACAAACCAAATGGTCCCCATTTATGTGTAAAAGCTCCTGTGTTTTATTTTTATGAATCAAATATTTTGGAGAGACAGAAAATTTAGTATGTCACAACTCTACTGCAGACTGTTATCCTCTGAGTCTGCAGTGTGGACACGTTCATGCAGAGCATGGCACGTACACAACACCAAGCTTGCGTAAGCACTTTAAGATCACAAGTTCTGTTTGTTTTTCACCAGATTGATCATTTTAAACAGACTTAATTTTTCTTTCTTTTGTGTCAGTTTTTAAACTTTTCTCAGGTGCTGCAAGAGGCAGCACCCGAGAAACACCTGTGTGTGTGTTTGTAAATGGTAAATGACCCGTACTTGGACAGTGCTTTATCATAAAGCTTCACACAATATGTTCAGTCCAAGTGGGGTGGAGGAGGGGGGGGGATGAATAGTGTGGCAATTGGAGACCTGGGGGAAAAAGAGGGAATGAGTAAACATGGCTAAATTCAATTCAGTTAATTCATATAAAACAATTTTCTTCAAAGAGTTATTGTAGATGGTGATGGGTATGGCCAGGAAAGACCTGCCTCCTGTAGCAGTCTGTATTACAGCAACACTGAAGAAGCCTCTAACTAAAGAAACCGTTTTTTGATGACAGACTGATGAAGAGGATGGTCAAGGTTGTTCATAATTTCCTTGATTTTATGAAAATTAATTCTTTGCAGGAGCTGCACAATGGTGTAGTTGGTAGAACTGTTGCTGCATGCGTGGGTTCTCTCTGGGTTCTCCGACTTCTTCCTACAGTTCAGAAACAGACCAGGTTAATTGGTTTCTCTAAATTGTACTTTTTACACTTCCTGTTTTGTCTTTAACTTATTTTTCAGTGTCTGGTTTGGTATGGTCTTTGTTTCAGTGGTTTTGTTCGTAAGCAAACCTTACTCAGTGTTTCCCCCAGAAAACTTGCTAAACCAGGTGGTCAAGGTGCCGAGGCAGTCCACCGTGATTTTGTATTAAAAGATGTTAAGTTGACAGGAAATGTACAATTATTACTGGGTAATTATATGTTACAGGAAAACATCTCCAGTGAAATGCTATCTAAACCCACAACTAGTCCTTGTCTTACATTAGTACCAGTCTGTCTTGTCCAGGTCTCTAATGTTCCTCGTTTGCCAGTGATACCAGTTTGTGAGCTTTATCCTTCCGCTCTACTGTGCTGCCTGGTTTGGAACTGTTGTGGATTATTATCATTAAAATCATCATTTTCATCTCTCAACCTGTGTCAACGGCATCTCCCTCACTGCCTCTCACCACAGCCTCTGACAGAATATCAATTATTTGCACTTCTGTTTAATCCAAATACCTTCACCTGCCAAGGAAACACACATCATTCATCTGCACATCAACTCTGATCATCTTTTACATCATTAGTGCTGGAAAAAGATCAGCTGCTCCTCCTCTGATTGGCTCTTTTTCTCTGCTTCATATCAGTGTCAGGTGAATGCAGTCAGATGCAGGCCCGGCGGCTTGGGTGGCCATTAGGGGGGACGTTGTCTGTCCACAGAGTCACCCATGCCCGCCTTTACTGCAAGCTAGTTCTTTCAATTTTACCTCAGAGTGGTCAACTTTCTATTATTCCTATCTCGATTTGATACAATAGGAGCTGGCTCCCACACTTCCGTATCAGTGCCCTCTGACTCCTGCACTTTTTTCATTCATTACAGCTGCTTAATCCATTGATAACATGTTGTAACATAACAATAACGTGTTTTTCAGAGCCACCTTAAAACAAAACATGAGCGCTAAGATCCTTGTGCTGGTGTTTTACCTGTGCAGCAGCAACGAATACCTGCTGCTGCTGTGCTGACTGGTACACTGGTGTGTGTTATAATCATGGCAGCAAACCAGCAGAAAGCAAAGACCTTTGCACAGTTTTTTCCTCCAAGCTAACAAAATGAGTTGAGTAATGTTTATATGCTGGTAATGTGAGCTAAATAATGACTAACTAATGGCAATAAATCACGTTAAGCTTGTTAACAAGAATAGCCTACTAATATTGTTATCTATGTTCAAAAGTGGGTTGTACTGGCAACATTTACTTGAATAACTTTTTGGGGGAAAATGTACTTATTAGAGTTGTTTTACTGTACTGTACATTTTTCTTTTACTTGAGTAGATTAATTTTGCATTTAAAGAAATAGATTTAAGAATTTGTAAGCCTTAGATTTCTGTAACATATGAGCTGTTTATGCAAATCTGAGCATAATTACTCAACATTAAACATGTCACTGTTTGTGTCCTTATTTTCTGTGTAAATAAACATGGTTATGTTATTTGAAATATTACATAAAGATTTGTTTATGTCTTTATATTAAAGTAAAAGCTTGTTTCGTGTGCCCCCCCACCCCCAATAAACTGTTGTGGAGCCGTTGCTGATCAGACAGCAGAGAGGCAGAGGAAGCTGCCATCAGCTGCTGCTCTTCTTCTATCATTTCACTAGATGGAGACATGGAGAGCAACATTTCCATTCACTGACGCACAATGATTCAACCTGAAGTAGTTTAGTTAATTATTAATCTCTATAAGTGGATCATCTGCTCCATCAAATGCTAATTATTTAATAATCTGACTGAATCAAAGACATTTTAAAAATAATATTTCATTTTGAAACAAAGCAGAAAGAAACTGTTCTGTTTGATGCTAATGGCTGAGACTGGAGTTTGATTCCTGGGAATAAAATCATGAAGCAGTTTGTTTAGATAAGAAAATAAAGAAACATCAGCTTTCTTCCACTTTATTAATAATTTAATAATCCTGTTGATTAGCTTTCAAACAGCAGGGAGATGAAACGTTGAGCTGAATTTAGAAGTGAAAATTTTTTCCAAACATCAGAAAACAGAAACAAGTAGGAAAGCTTCTGTAGACAAACTTCAAGTACAAAACAAAGCAAACTTACAGTTTGTTCAAACGATCCAAAGAGTTGAAGAACATCTGAACAACAGACTGAAACCTAACAGAACCACTGTAGAACCAGTCTAATGCCACACCTGTACAGAGACATAACAGAATTTTAATAAAGTAAATTATTAATATAGCTCCTATATAATCATTGATAATTATGTTAGTGTGGTGAGCAGAGTGAGGACAGTCTCTGTTTAAAACCAGGATCAGCTGAGCAGGTTCTGCTGATCCAGGTTCAAACCCTGATTTCACTTCAATCATCAATCTGAATTTAAAGTCAGTCAGATCCAGCAGCAGAAGGTGACAGCTTGTTCCAGACTCATTATTTACACATGCAGCTGTTTTCCTGCTGTTCTCCACAGCTGGAGGGAGGGAGGGGGGATGTTTGGAGGAGAGAACCTGAACATTCAACCTCCAGGTTTTACAGCTGGATTCTGACCTCAGCAGCTGGAACAACGACACAGATGAAACCAGCAACTCCTGGAAAATGGATGTTTGGATCTGATCAGGTCTGCAGATTCACTGACTGGGATTTATTCAGAAAATGTCTCAGCTTACTAACCTTGTTCATATTTAGAAATTCTTTAGCATGAAAAGAATGACTTAAATAGAGTTTTTATGCTCAATAGAAGGAGAAACTCTTTCAGTCGCTCCTGTTAATTCTGAGTCCTGAACAGAAGGACTAATGATCCTCTGAGGGTCCATGAACCACAGACTGAGAAACTGTGAAGGGAAACTGCAATCACTTTAGTTCTGCAATGAACTAACAAAATGATGCCATTGAATTATAGCAAATAAAACTGATAGAGAACATTCTAAGGAAAAAATGGTTGTGAAATAAATGTTTTAAAAAATAAATAGATTAAAAAAAAATCTGAATAGTTTTAGACAAAGACAATATTGAATGGGAATGAAGTCAAAGTGTCAGATGTTTTAAACGTCTTGAAAACGCCTGACACTCAGATGGCTGAGATTTATTTTTGTTCTCCTTTTTGAAGATTTATGCTGTAATTACATATTAATATGGGAATAAACAAAACATCTTTCAGTGTTAAGAATTAGAGATCATTAATACTGCAAAGTTTACAAAATTTTGGTTTGCCATATAGTGTTTGTTGCATTGAAATTGAATAGAAGAAAATTCTTATAAAATGCAACTACATTTAAACTAAGATGTTAAAAAGACCTTTTGTTTTCCTGGAACTATTTGTTCTAACAAAACCTAAAATAAGTGAAGCTTCAGCAGAAACTTGATCAATTTGTTACTGTGATCCTAAATTATAAATTATACCAGAGAAATCTGGTTTGACTGAACACATAACTTAAAACAGGATCCTGTAGATTAGAGTTCAGTTCAAACATTAAAATATGTTGTTAAAAAGAAAAAAAATTCTTGAAGCTTCAGTAAATATACAAAATGAGGACTGACTGGAAATTACTGACTGATGAAATTTTGACTAATTTCAAATTCTGACTATTTGTTTCATGTTGGAGTGAATGTTTGTGTGTTTTGTGCTTGATAAATATTGTTTACTAAACTGAAATTAGTTTTTTGATTGAACTTAAGTTTCGAAAGGAATATTGTGTGAGATGATCTGAGATCTTAGTTTGTCTTCAGGATGGTAATTTTTATTTTTGATACTTTGACAACCAAAATTATATTTTCCTCTGTTAATTCCAACAGTGTAATTAGGAAGTAGGACTGCCAACAGTCGACCTTTGAACTGTCCGAGACTGACACCTCCTGGCTCCTCCCACCTTCTGGATCTGTTCCCGCCTTCAGTTTCCATAGCAACACTCAACGTTATCACCCCTCCCTTTGAGTTTCACAGAGAGTTTAGGAAGAAAGAAAAAACCTGCCATGCTGCTAGAATGAATGGATGTTTGTATAATAATTGAGCATGAAATTTTTATTGTTAGTATTTACATATTAAAGGTTAATAAAGCAGTTTCAATGGTTTTTACACATTTTCTTTACTTTGTAGAATAATAAGGGATTTATTTGTAGAAATCACTTTTCATAATGACATAGCACTTTTAAGAAAACCAAAGCAAAAGTTTATATTTGCTTTAGATTCCATTCCTTCCTCTGTACTTAAAAAAGCAAAACAATCAAACTCAAAGCTTCTGAAACATTTTAAATTCTTTCTTTGGAAATGAAATAGGGACCACTGTTCTAGAGGACTGTGCTGCAGTGACACGAGTAGGCACCGATGGACGCAGGGACTG